CTTACGTAATCATTTTACTACTGGTACACTATTAATACTACTACGTAGTATTAATAGTAGTTACTACTACTAGTACCACTGTAGAATGATGTGGGGTAAAAGACGGATAGAGGACAATATAAAACGGAAATGTCACCAAACCAGCTGGCTGTAGAGTTGTAGAATTTGAGAAAGGGCTCAAAGTAGTACTGTACCGGTATTACTACGTAGTACTATTAATAGTTGTAGTACCAAATGTTGCAACATTTGAGATAAACTGTGAGTTTGGATTTTTCACATGTACTGTATCCGACTAAAAAAAGTGGTGTAATGACACGTTTATGAAACGGTGCCTCCTGATAGGATTATGGCCAATGAGTGCAAAAATCACCGTGTGACCTACCGGTACCGGTAATTGCCTAATTTGCTTTTGATACAGTGAAAAGCCAGGGGGAACACTGGGTAGTTGCGGGTGAAACGGAAAGTGAATTAGCTTAGAGCATCTCCAACGGTGTTTTTATTTCTATTTCAATTCGAAGTTACGGATATAGAATACAAACTCTTGCACTATCCGGAGGGTTTGTTGCTACTAACATAACAGTAAAGTATTTCACGCGAAAATAGAAATTCTGTGGAAAGTAATTTCTAAAAAGTCCGGATAATGCCAAAATAGCAACCGTAAAAACGAAGTTTGACTTCAACCTATGCTTTGGCAATAAGGTTAGAATTTACCGTTGAAGATGCTCTTACAGTTAGTCACCAGTGAGAACAACTGGCTTTAAAGGCTCGACGGACTAGCTAATGGTTAGCCAATCAGGACACGGCATCCTAATGATTTACCGTGTATATGGCTGGCTATCGGCCAAATCGAAGAGTGGAGGTTTTATTATTTAACGTACAATTAGTGTAGTTAAACCCAAAAACCAAAACGTTAAATACCGAATTTATGCGTTTTATCACTGGAGTGGGAGGTTAAAGGTCCCAACTGCCTCCGGATATTACATACGGATAAGAGTCACATACAAAAATCAAGGTACATTTGAGCGGTCACCCCTATGGCCAAATATCAAGCGCCAATGTAAAGTACCGCTAGGTCAAATATCTATTTCTGGATCAATTCATCACCAAATTTGAATATGAGACGTAGAATTTCTTCACCACATTGAGATCTGTCGATTCTACGTCTCAATTTGCTGAAATTTTGTGAAAAGTTGGTAGTTTATAGGTGACGAGCATCATACTAGCTGCAGCCCGTGCTGCTACCTGAGGCTTCAGGGCAGTGGTGATGTTCATGAACAGAACAGAGTGTTCTTACTGCCTCCCAACTAGTCCACGCACTGTCACCATAATCGGGAGCAAGCGGCTGGCGATTAGACTCAGTGAGCGTAACCACCTACGGTACACCGCCTTATGTCCGGGACGAAACTCGTCGAACATCCATCTTAGCGGGTCCCTATGAATTCGTCTTTCCGCGCGACTTGCCGGGGGAGACCGTCACCCCCCGTTGCCTGACCTGTCACGGTTGGAGCGTCCTCCGTACATGACGGGACTGGTAAAGGGCTTAGAGTCCGGAGTTTATGCTCTTTGGCGTGGGCCAGAGGGTCGGAGGGCTTTAGCTGCTCCACTCTTAGTTTGCTGCTCAGTGCGCCGAAAGTTGTAATGTCTAATGGCTTGATGACGATATCCGCGACTTGGAGTCGTGTATCTGTGTACTCGAGTCGAAACAGTTGTTCTTCGACGAGGTCGTTGATGAAATGGTAGTGCACATCGATATGTTTGATGCGCCCATGGTGACCAGAGTAGTTCACTATCGGGATGTTGCTTTGGTTATCCTCGTGGAGGGTAATAGCCGAGGTGATGGGATGACCCATCTCGCCAGTTGTTTGCTTGATGTACAGTACAAGCATTCTTGTGCTACTGTGCACTGAATCATAAGTTCTGCCTCGGTGGTCGAGAGAACTATGCTGAATAGTCTCTTAACGATCCACGATATCGCAGAGTTGCAGTCGAATGTCACAAAGCCGGTGACGCAGCGACAAGTGTCAACGCAATTAGCGTAATCACTGTCAGCAAATGCGTGCACCGGAGTGGTGACATGGTGTTCACCACCCAAGGCGAAACCGTAGTCGATCGTGCCTCGAATATAGCGAAGTGCTCGCTTGGCCGCATGCCAATTGCCTGGGCCAGGGTTCGTTAAGAACTGACCGAGCTGCTGGATGACATAGGGCAAGTCTGGTCGGGTACTAATACCTGAGGTTCATGGCACTCCCGACGACAGATCGGTACGCAGCTTGTTCACTATGTAGGTGCACTCAGTTTCGTCCTGAGGACACATCGACTCAGAGAGTTTGAGGTTCACCTCCATGGGAGTGGGTGAAGGTTTGAGTTCTCCATGCTGAACCTCTTGAGAATAGAGATCGCACATTGGGACTGGTGCATCCAGCGCATGCCCAGGGCTGACTTCCCTCAAGGCAATCTTGCGCTCTCGAACGACATGTTCGCCTCATGAGAAGCCAATTCGAGGAGCATGGCTTCGCGCCAATGCGCTTTGGCTGGTGACTTCATAGCTTGCGCATATGTTGAGGGCTCCTCAGTAGGTGCTTTGACCTTGAGGGCCGAGAGGACATGCTCTGGTGTCAAGATAGATCGAGCGCTCGAGGCGTCCTCGGGCCGAGAGCATGCGCCATACTGGACTCGTGGAGCCAGAGTATAAAGCCTCCCCAAGTGAGGGTAGAGGTGTGGTTGCTGGAGCAGCCTCCCCAAGATGCGATGGCAACGGGTTTTGTGTTTGGGGAAGTGACTTGTCCACAGTAAAACAATTACGGTGTGGAAGCTCAGTCCGCAGTCGTTTGACTTCCTCGACTGATTTCAGGAGGGGAAACTGATGTTCAACAAAGGTGG